TGTAGCTTGGAATCTCAGGACAGTAAACATCAATAACTTAAACTGATAAGAAATGTTTTGGAACTTTTATTAAACTTTTTACCTACCACTTGATTTATAAGGCTCAAGGGAAACATGATTAACTTGCAGCTGCCTTAATTTTCATAATGAAATGACTCATCTGCTTAATGCAATTGAAGCAGGTTGTAGACGTTCCAAGTTCATTTTCTGGTCACTGGTGATCATTCAGTGGTGTCACTCTAATCTCTAAACTGTGTCTCTGTTCTGCAGTAACACTGACATAGTTGTGTAAGCCTCCTAACATTTAGTAATTTTATTCTTTAAAAATTACCTATAACAAGTTGAGCCAATCATGTGTTACCCTTCCATTATCTACAGGTCTTTTTTTTTTTTTTTTTTGGCTGCATTGGGTCTTCATTGCTGCACGCGGGCTTTCTCTAGTTGTGGTGAGCGGGGATAATCTTCATTGCGGTGGGCAGGCTTCTCATTGCGGTGGCTTCTCTTGTTGCGGAGCACGGGCTCTAGGTGCGTGGGCTTCAGTATTTGTGGCACATGGGCTCAGTAGTTGTGGCTCGCGGGCTCTAGAGCGCAGGCTCAGTAGTTGTGGCACGCAGGCTTAGTTGTTCTGCGGCATGTGGGATCTTCCCGGATCAGGGATCGAACCCGTGTCCCCTGCATTGGCAGGCGGATTCTTAAACACTGCACCACCAGGGAAGTCCCTATCTACAGGTCTTTGAAGTGCAAGTTCAAATGCTTCTTCTGTAAATCTGTTGTTCTACCTCCTGTCCAGAATGTAATGTAGAAGATAGCGGCCTAGTTGGCAAAGGAGAGTTACTATTACGTAGACTCTGTTTGGCTTTTGGTTTCCAGTAGATAAGTGTTTCTGACTTTTCTAAATAGAGCTATTTGCGTTGGATTCATATGAAATAATACAAGGCACAGTTGGTTATCATCCTAGTCATCACTATTGTTATCATAATCCCCACATATACAGATTATTAGTTTAACTTCTACATTGTATAGATTAGGCACCTGAGGCTAAGAGAACATAATTAGTGTGCCTAAAGTCATAAAATGACAAAGGCTGGGCATTAAGAAACTAAGTGATTTAACCCAGACCCTTTCTGTTTTGATGTACTTAGAGCAAACTTGTATATTCATTTATATATATATATATATATATATATATATATATATATATATATACACACACACACACACACACATAAATGTGTATATTTATATAAATATATACTCATATAAGTAAATTCTTATAATATGTGCATATGAATTTAAGTATATACTTACACTTAATGTCAGGTATAATAGTCTTTAAAAAAATAGCAAAATGTAAGCAACCTTTGAGTAACTTTGACCACTGATTTTCCAACAGATTGTCTCTGAGCCTTTGTTTATGTTATGGTAAATACCTCTTGCCCTGCCTACCTTGGAAATAGTATTACTTGACAGTATGTAATCATCACAAAATATGTAGAAGCTCTTTAAAACCTGTTATGCTATTTTATATCAGTTCTCTCTACTGGGAAACAAACAAGTGGGTTTCTTTTTTCCTGTATATCTCCTCAAATTTAAAGTTGGCTGTTTCTTTAAATTAAGAAATCTGAATGAAGTAAAAATTAAGGACTTAAGTGAAAAAATATTTTAATGAGGCCTTTATCCACAAGCTGGAACATCTGGATAATGCATCTGCTACTCTATTAATTTCCAACCAGAATATTTAAGTTGTATCCAAAAATGTTTTGGCTGTGTTCCAAGTAAACATAGCCAAATTTGATATGATATATACAAATTCTATAATATTCTCTTGAATAGAGAAACACTGTTGTATTGTCTGATGTTTGAGGCAAGTTTCTTCTCCCTTTTCCTTTTGTATCTCATTTAAATTCATGGTAATTTTTTTAATGGTACAAGTTTGAGACTTGCTAGGGACTGATGTGTTTCAAGATACAAAGTGCAATGGATTTCTTGATCTCTGACTATTCAGAATATAACAACTCTTAAAAATTACCTTTAAATAAAGTTAACAGTTTTACAGATTTTATCCAGAAAATATAAAATTTTGAACATGGCATAATAATGCCATTTTCAGTGCTATGCCATCTCTACTTTTGTATTTAAGTTTTAGATTGTAAGCATAGAGATATTCAGCTCAGAATCTGGCCAGTGGCTTTGGCCAGATACACGGTGTCTATACAGTATATAGAATCATATAGCCCTCTTTTATTCTTTATTTCACTAAACTTCTAGTCATGGTATCTTTTTGTTATTCAGGGAAGCTTTGCCGAAAACCTTTCATTTCTTCTGGAAGCTTTAAAAAAAGGTAAATATTAGTATGTTTAACAATATCAAACAATAATTGTTTAGCTTTATTTATCCCTTGATCATACGCTTTTACAAAAACAAATAAAGAAATATAAAAAAGAATAAAATAATGACCATTGAAATCCCTAATAATAGTGATTATTCCAACTAACATTTGATTTCATATCTTTATTCACCTGTAGTATATCGTTGGTATAGACATAATTTTCAATAAGAATAAAATCTTTTCTATTTTGTTGTGTGATATACATCTTTTCACTTACTCATGGTATGTCGTAAGCATCTTTCCATGTCAGTAAATATTGAGGTGCATCATCATTTTTATGGTTCTCATATATTTCATTTTAAAAATATAAATTAACTATAATTTATAATTCTAATATAATGAATTATAATTTATTAATCACCAGCTATCAACTTTTATTTCTAATTTTGTATAATTAGGAAGAAATGCTTAAATGATCATCCAGATTTCCTGGGGTAAATTTCAATGAGTAGAATTCTAGATTAAAAGGTTCTACATTTAAAAGAATAAATATTAATTACCAAACTACCCTAGAAGGTCCATTTTCTAAACATATTTAAAAGTACTTTTTTCCTACAGGACCTCAAAAACAATTATTTTCATGTTTGCCTATTTAATAGAAAAAAAATTTTATTTTAGTTTAATTTGCATAATTTGTATACTGATGATGCTCATATCAAATTTTAATTGGCCACTGATAGTTCCTGGTTTGTGTTTTTCCTGTTGGTTCTTTGCCTTATTTTGATGGTTTATCTCATACTTATTATGTGAATTCTTGCACTTGTTTCTTTCTTCTCTTAAGTTTGATTTGGACTTTTCTGCTGAATAGAAGTTTAAAATTTTTTACATAGTCAAAATTTTTCTCTCCTTCATACTTTGACATTCACTTATATTTTCATCCAGTACATATAATTCATAATTTGGCTGGAATTTATTTTGGTAAGGTGTAAAGTAAAGATCTAATCTTGAATATACCACTTTTTCCATTGTTATGTAATGCTATATTTTATCAAAAACTAAAGTACTGTATTTTGTAGGTCTAGACTTCTGAGTGGTCCCTGTGGTTTTAATGTCATTTAGGTTAATGCATATGTTTTATTATCTATTGGATAATATTATCAGATATTATCTAACAGATAATAATTATTATTAATAAATCTGTTTATTATCAGTTTTTTTCACTTTTTATGCAAATATAAAGCCTTAGACCTTAAGGTAATAGTGATTGTTCTGCTAAAGTAGTTTCCATTGTTGTGAGGAGAAAAACAAATCCACAGAGTCATGTTGAACTTTTCCCTATTGTAGAAGTGTTAAAATTGTCATTAGTAGGAGTTAAAGTAGCTTTGGTTAAACTTCACAGTACAATGGTTATTTATAAAAATTATTTCTATGGGAAGATTTACTTTGTATTTCTACTAACTAAAAATAAGTCTCTTTTGAAGTAATAGTTTTATGTCCCTCTGTATTTAATCCCAAAGTGTTTTGGTCTCTGTAGGTGTTAAAAGATCCTTGTCAATTTTCTCATGATAGAAGAATTACGTTTACATAATTTAAAAAAACAATAATCTTCAGTCATTTAAATGATTTTCTTAACATCAGTAAAGCTACTAGAGTCTGGTGATTAGACTGAATTACCTGAGGGCCATAGGGGCTATTTTGTCCTTTGAATAATTTTTTTTGTTGAATAAATGTACAAGCATTGGTAAGTGCCCCACCCAAAGTAGGTTATCAATATATTTTTTTTGAATTGAGTTTTAAAAAATGAAATGTAATAAATAGTTTGGAAATTTAAGAAAGGCTGATATAATTGCTTGTTAATATAAAACTCTTATTTTTTCTTAGGTGACCGGACTAGTAGTTGCCCAGTGATCTTCATATTAGATGAATTTGATCTTTTTGCTCATCATAAAAACCAAACACTCCTCTATAATCTTTTTGACATTTCTCAGTCTGCACAGACTCCGGTAGCAGTTATTGGTCTTACATGTAGATTGGTAAGTGTTTCTATTTTAAAAATTGATTATAATATTTAGAAAATTAAAGTTTAATTACTGACTTAGTTACTATGTAGGTCATTTTTCAAATGTATTTCATCAATACTTGGCACATTTATCCCACTTTTCAACTCAAATTGAGGAAAACAAGGAAATATTTATCACATATCTTGATAGACTAATACCTCCTGCCGTCTAATCAAATCACTGAATAAAAAAATGTGAAGTGAGATTATGCTAATAAATATAATTTCTACATTAGCAAATAAAGAGAAAGGTAAATGACCTCACTACCATTTTATAAAAATTGCTAATAGTTTCTACTTTTTACATTTAAGATTCTTTCCATATTTTAAAAATGCTTGGAATCAACTCAAAATGATACTGTCCCAACTTTGTAAGTATACATCTCCAGAAATGGAAGGGATTATCTCTATCAGGCTGTCACTGTAGATAGTGGCTTCTTTGCTCCTTGGAGGATTTTAGAATGATTTAACCATAGTGTTAATGTCACTATCACATTACTTTGTGAAGACTCCATGTATGTTGAACCCTGTGTACCTTCAGACAGCTTATGTAGGTCTTTTTGCATTTACCTTATCTATCTCTTTTTCTTTTTTTAAAAAATTTTTCCCCGAAGTGGGTGCACCATTCTTGGAAGTACTGCAGTACCAGGTCGATGTGTGGAATGGATGGAGCAAGTTCCTATTCCATCTCCTAGTTCCAGAAATCCATTTAATTCATTGTCCTCGGATAGAGCACATATCGGTTATTAAACTGATAAGAACAGATACTATACTTGATCTTAGCCGAAAGGCCGAGAAGCAGTGTGTTTACCTTCTTTTACTCTCCTAGTATGAACTTTCTAATTGAATTCAGGTAAAACTGGTTTTTAAGAGTCACCCGCTTCTTATACTATGGCTGCCATGCATCTGTAGCTTTCATCCTTTTTCCTCCTTCATTTATGGCAGGCTTATGTCAAGCCCTCATTCTCCTTTTGTACAGCTCGTTCCCTTTTTTAGAAATGTGAAACTCTTTACTAAGTCATCTTTCAACAGTCTTGCTAGTGCTGTTTCTCAAAGGAGTGGCTTTCTCTGTCCTCCTTCCCCAGTGCTCTAGAGCTTACAATGTATGCTTTCATAATAAGCCTCTCTCACAGAAAATCTGGCTGGTTCTCCACATATCTTTATTCTTCTTTTCAAAATGTAGCAATCTAACACAGTGGTTAAGGAAGCACATTCCTCCTTGCTAAAAGCTCTTCCTTTGGGTGGAAGTGGCAGTGGCAAATGCTTTTGACCCAGTGAGGGACCAAATAAAGGGTTAGTAGCTCCTTAGCCATATTATCAGAGGCTCTTTTTTATTCTGTATGTATAATTCTCCAACTGTGTAATTCAAGTCTAAGTATATATCTATGTGTCCATGTTTATAGGGAAAGAGCAAAAGGAATGATGGAGTAGTGATTTTGTTAGCAAATAACCTCTTCCTTGTGGCAGTAATTTTTTTTTTCTACTATTCCCTGTATCCCCACATTACCAATTTCTGTCATTACTGCCCACCACCAAACTATCAGTTACTGTTCACCTCTAAAATTCTTTTACTTCCATCTCTTTCCATTCCCAAGTTCAGGCTCTTAATTATTGCTTACCTGTATGGGTGATCTAGAACTGCTCCTTAGTAGAATGTAAATGTATAATATTTCTGTCTCTGAACATAACTTTTAATTGTCTTATGCTGTCACTATATTTTTCTTTAACCTGTAAACACATCTCAGGTTTTTCATTCACCCTCCTCCACTCTAACCCCAAGCTATTAATCTTTCCTGTCTTCCTTTCCACACTAACCATGATGCCATGATGCCTTTTTGGTCGCTTTAATTCTTTCCTGTGTATCATTGGTTTCTTAACCTAGAGTCATCTGGGTAGATTTGAAAATCCGTATTTCTGGGCCTCACCACAGCTTTTTGTTTTTCTTCTTTTATAGAAAATTGACACTAAACTTGCTCCCTCACTTCTCAAGGAAAAATAGCACTAATACAAGTAGTTTCTCAAATATTGTTATAAAAAAGCCAAAAGACAGAATAATTTACCAGTGTCACACTGTGTTCCTGCCAGTTTCCTCTTCTACAGTTTGTTCCTTAAGTCCAGCGTGGCTTCAGCTTAAATTTGTATAGTTTAGTGAATTGAATGTTTCTCCATTACACATGCTGCTTCTTGAGTCTTTGTTACATAAAACAATGAAGAAGATGTTTAAATTTTCATGAATGTTAATAAGTCTAATTACATTTTGTTATATTAATTTTTATCTGAATTCTTCATAGAATGTATGAAATTGTTTATTGATAGCTATAATTTTTTAGTAGTTATTGTTGGCCTTGCAATGTTAAAGATAAGCTGAGAAAAACATGGTTGGAAAAAGGCTTGACATCACCAGGCTTACAAGTGCTTAGAAGGGGATTAAAAGTAGCTTGGATTAAAAATACTTTCAGAGGCTTGGTTTATTTCCAAGCCGCATTCTCTTACCTCTACTACCTTGTAGCCCTAAGTAGATCAAGGGAATAATTAAATTTTTTTTAATGCTTAATTGTGTATTACAGGATAAGCATTTTTAATGCTTAATTGTCTATTACAGGATAAACATTGCTGATTATAAGTGATAGTTCAAATAGTTATACCTCTAACATTGGTATGGTTATTTTAAATATGCATCTTACGGAGATTTTTGTTTGTTTTTAAGGATATTTTGGAACTCTTAGAAAAGAGAGTGAAGTCACGATTTTCCCACCGGCAGATACACTTAATGAATTCATTTGGTTTTCCACAGTATCTTAAAATATTTAAAGAACAATTATCTCTACCTGCAGTATTTCCAGGCAAGATTTTTGCTGAGAAGTGGAATGAAAATGTTCAGGTAGTTTGGAAAAAAGACAATAATATTAAAGTAATATTTGTGTCTTGCTATACCATTTGAAAGCAATTAAAACTTGAAAATCTTTAAAATCTGTAAGTTAGCATAAAATTTCTAATATTACTGTGGCACAAAACTGCATTAATACAAATTATACTCTTTTGTTTGTGTATTTTCTTTTCAAAAACAGTTGAAATGTCATACTTCTAAATTTTTTTTCTCAAAGGAACTTTTATGAGATTTATTTGTATCTGGTTTATATTTTAGATTACTTTGTTAATGAACTTCATCATTAAATATTTATTTTCTTTATTTATCAGTTTAGCAATATATTAATTTAGTAAGGTTCATACCTACCTATCCAGTGTGGATTTTTCTTTTCCAGTTCTCATGAACAACTTAAGCGTTTTTCTCATTGGGTCTATTAAGAGGCAATTCAGACTGTGGCAACTTTGGTTATATTATCTATATTGACATATCCCATCTTTGAGTCCTTGGAGCCCTGAGAGTCTTAAGTTGCAAATGCACACTCACTTGTTGTTTTAAACATCTTCTGAACCTTGTGGACTCTAAATATACTTAAGTTGAACAGCCTAATTTGTACAGACTGTTGTTTTATCAGCTAAGCATACTAGCATCAGTTTATCTTATACTGACAAGTTTTAGTTGGCAGGGAAAAGGGAGAGAGTGTATGTGTGTGAATATGTGTTTAATAATGTGTTTGAAAAAAAATATTACTGAATAAATCTTACATGTCAAAAATATGGACCTTGTGAAAGTGGAAAATAATATAGAGTCCTTGGTTATGAAAGAATTAGGAAAAACTGGTCTATAATATTAAATACTAATGAGTGAGGATGATTAGATCTGCTTAGAATTGAACAGTCTATATTCTTTGGCTCTAAAAGATTGTTTTATGTTATAGCAATAATGATAGATTATATTTTTTTACTGTAAAATCTTAAATATCAATACCAAATTAAAAGTGAAAGTTTGCATTTATTTTGCTCTTTAACGTTTCTTGTTTTTTTCCCATCTTTGTTGAGGTATAATTGACAAGTTAGAAATTGCTTATATTTAAGGTATACAACTTGATGTTTTGGTATACATTGTGAAATACCACAATCAAGCTATAATATTTAACATATCCATCACCTCATATAGATTTCTTTCTTTTCTCCTTTTTTTTAATTTTGTGGTAAAACAGTTAAGTTCTATCTTCTAAGCAAATTTCAAGTATATAGTACTGTATTGTTAACTGTAATCACGTTGCTATCCATTACTTATGCAGAACCTAACTTGTATAACTGAAACTTGATTCTTATTTTGATTTTAAAATAGAGTCAGCTTATGTGAGAACTATTAATTTTGACACAGTTTTTTAAAATTAAAAGTTACGAACAAAATTTAATCAGTGCTTAAGAATACATGGTAAAAGGTAGAATTTTCCCTTATGTCCATGCCCATCTTCCCTCCTTTCACTACAAAGTAATTATTTGGTTCATAGAATTTCAGACCTTATATATTGATACATGACAAATTTGTTTTTACATAAAGGATTCAAACCTTAAATATTATTCTTTGGTTTACCTTTTTTACTTTGTTGTAATCGTTAATCTCATATTTTTTTCCTAATATAACTGTACAGAATTGTATATCAAAATGATTGACTTTATCCTTAAATCATGATACTGTGTCATGATATAATTAGGTGTGGGTCCTTCCTTCCACCTTCCTCCCCAAATTAACTTTTCCTGGGACTCAGATATTTACTAGCTCGTGCAAGTTTTTCTTGATACTATGTCTAATTATAAGAGTCCATGCTATAAGAACACTTTATAGTTGGTGCTCTCACATTGTCTTTTCCTTTACCTGGATCTGGAGTGGGTCAGTGCTCTGAATCTTTGGCCTTCTGAATCCACTTTTGAGTGCGTCACAGACTTCCACCTTTTACAACTCCTGAACTGATTGTCTTGTTGCAACAGTGTGTTTTTCTGATTGCTTTAGTGATCAAATGCAGTCTTAGTATTTAAATGTCTGTGCTTTCCCAGGGCTTTTATTATTCTTATCCCTGCTCACTGCTCACTTTCTTTTCCTAAGACGACTACGTAAGCCCAGATTATACTGTACTGTCATCCATCTTTCTGTCCCTCCCAGCTATGTTGTATTCTGAGATCCTAGAATGGGTATATAAAGGAAGTAGATGGTGACAGTTACTGTGAAGCATAACTCTGGATGACTCAGAAAATGGTAAGCATGTGATGGAGAGTGGCTAACCCTAGGTTTTTGGTCCTTCTTTGCTGATCACTGAATTTAGAGGCAGGATGATAGGAATGAATGTGAACACTCTCCTGTCACCTTTTTGATAATCTTACAGTTCTTTCATAAGGTAGAACTAATACCACTGGAGTTTGTGTCTCTTAGTTCTAATATTTTCTTGCCCTATCCTAATCATCATTTGCCACCTCCCTTTAGGGTATGCTCATAAATGAGCTTCACTTGAAAAAAATATGTCAGCACCATGGCCAGAGGCCCTGTCTGAAAAGGGGGGGTGTGCACTGAAGGAGCTATCCTTTCACTCAGTGCTGACTATCCAGCAAGTTTTTCTAATTCCAAGGTTAAACAAAAGCAATGGTATAGGTGACAGGTCACCTAGGGAATCTCATCCAAGAAATATCTTCAGGATAGACTTGAACCTGGACATCCTGCCTAACTTGAATATTTGTTTTAGCCCTATCCCAAATATGTAAGCAGGGTAAATACCATCTCAGCATGGCAGTATAAGAAAAATCTGTATAAAAGAGCATTTAAAAGGACCATAGCTCAGAATGACCATCATCAAAACATCTACAAACAGTAAATGCTGGAGAGGGTGTGGAGAAAAGGGAACCCTCTTGCACTGTTGGTGAGAATGTAAATTGATAC